GTAATAAAGTCAGCCGTTAATCAATATTTCTTCAGTCACTTTGCAGACAGTAAAAGGATTAAACGGAGCTGCTGTCCAGATGCCCTGAGCAGCTGTAAATAAGAATCGTTGCAACTGCTAAGACATCAATTAGAGTGGCCCCACCCAGTGCTCCCATAAGCAGATTCTCCGTCAGATCCTCATCTGCCCCCAAATCATAAATCCTTGGGCTGTGCCTCTGTGCAAGGGTAAGAGCTGAACCCTGATTTGAGGTCCTGAAACGAGGCCATTCAAGCTTCTTAGGCAACGCTTGCATCAGACATGAAGGCTGGAGGAGTTTGAGAGCCAAGTGCTCTGGAACCAGCTGCTACCAGAACTACATCCGAGGCCAGCCCAGGCTTCTGTTAGTACTACCGCTAACCACTGTGGTGTGCTAAATACAGACAGTGTTCTGTCACTGAATTCTTGGAAAAGCCTATTTATCTAAAAATCAGCTAGTGAGAAGTCTGGATTTCTTGGCTAGGAGTATGTCTATCTTTTAAGCAGAAGGCAGGGCAGATTTGTACCTTGCCACTTGTCTAACTTAAGTATTGTGATTTGCAACATATTTACATCATATATCATTGAATATTGTAAACTCTTTGGGGCAAGGACTATATTTTTTGAACTTCATGTCAATTCCAGGCATGTAAACGTTACAGTGCTGGCCACCCTGTACATGGCTGTATTACTGATAAATAACAGTGAAGGAACATTTCAGGGTTGAGCAGCAGGGATTTACTATATTGCTGTAATGGTATTTCTATTACAAAACATGATTTGAAAAGAATAGCAATAGGAACAGGAAAGGACAAGGCAAGAAGACCTCGCATGAAGTTCAACAAGGACAAGATAATCTTATGAGGTTCAACAAGGACAAGTGCAAAGTCCTGCACTTAGGACAGAACAACCCCATGCCCTGGTACAGGCTGGGCAGCAGCTCTGCAGAAAAGGACCTGGAGGTTACAATGGACAAGAAGCTGAATACGAGCCAGCAGTGTGCACTTGTTACCAAGGCGGCAAATGGTATACTGGTCTTCGTTGGTAGGAGTGTTGCCAGCAGGCGAAGGGAAGTAATTATTCCCCTCTATTCAGCACTGGTGAGGCCACATCTGGAGTACTGTGTCCAGTTTTGCCCCCCCCCCTCCCCCCACTACAGAAAGGATGTGGACACATTGAAGCAAGTCTAGCAGAAGGCAACAGAAATGGTGAGGGGGTGGGGAACATGACTTCATAAACTAATGACAAGACTGAGGGAACTGGGCTTATTTAGCCTAGAGAAGACAGGGAGGATTTCACAGCAGCCTTCAACTACCTGAAGCGATGTTTGAAAGAAGATGGAGGTGGACTGTTCTCAGTGGTGGCACATAACAGAACAAAGAACAATGGGCTCAAGTTGCAGAAAGGGAAGTTTAGGTTAGGTTAGGAAGAATTTCTTCACTAGGAAGGTAGTAAAACACTGGAACAGGTTACCCAGAGAGGTGGTGGAAGCTCCCTCCTTGGAAGTTTTCAAAACCCAGCTAGACAAAGCTTTGTCTGGGATGATCTACTCGGGGCTGGTCCTGCTTTGAGCAGGGGGTTAAGCTAGATGACCTCCTGAGGTCCCTTCCAACCCTAATTTTCTATGATTCTATATCTAATATTAATTCTAGTCTTAATCTATTAAATATAGATATAGATATAAACTCCCCCCTCCCATCATGTACATAGTTTTATATAATTAATAGAAACTTTGAGAAGGCAAGAGGAAGCTCTCTTCTCATGTCTACAGTAATTTATTACCTACAGCCATGGTTTAAAACACAATTATCAGCACAACTCCAGCAGCACTGCCCTGGACCAATTTATACAGGGATGTTTCCATCCCTGGTCTCTTGCCCTCTGACTGCAAATAGAGAGGTCAGTTGTGGTGAAGAGCTTTCCTCCTACCCCAGATGTGCTGAACTGACAAACCAGTGGGATAATGTATAGCAAAGAGAAACATTCAGAACTTGCAGTCACTGGGCACATCTATAATGCTCATTAATGTGCCTTAGATAGTGCACATTCAGTTTAGTACTAGCTTAATAAAGTACTAACTGAGTGTGCAGTAACTAGAGTTACTGCACAGTAGCACCAACACAGTTATTTTGTGATGCTTACTGTGCATTAGCCTAATAACACTGAATAGTAGGCCATTAGCACGGTTTGTAACCGCCGTGCTACTGTGCAGTGTTATTAGGCTAATGCACAGTAAGAATCTTGTGTACACACACACACACACACACACACACACACACACACACACACTCTATGAACTTACAGCAAATTTAAAGCCACTGGCCTACACACAAACAGTTGTCAGAACTCAATCCCTAATTAATATCCTTAAACAATAAAACTAAAAGCTTTTACTTTCATTTTTTCCAGGGTGGAATCATTTAAATAAAGTTATTTGAATTAGGCGGCCAAAAGTTCAATTTTATATACTGATTTTTATCAACTTTTCCATTGTAATTTTTGGTTTAGCTTGGTTTAAGGAAAAAGTGTATTTTCACTGGTTGATATAACAAAACATGTTGGTTTACAACTAAATACAGTTTTTACACTAGGTTTGGTACATGTGTGTTTCCTAGGCACACAAACTGGATAGGTATTTAAAAAAAAAAAGTATAGCTTAACATATTTGGATCATTAGAAATCTGACATTTTAATATTCTGTAAAATGGTGAAATAGGTGGGGGGGGTTGTTTACTAGGGCTGCTTACAGATATTTAAAAACAACAACAAAAAAGTACACCTTACTGGAAGAGGCAGTGTGTTCAACCCGGCTCTGCAGTGTCTATAGATTAGGTGCTTCAGCAGGGCTTTTTGGTGTTTTTATTTAATAGCTGATTCAATCAGCTATTAGATAAAAGCACCAAAAATCCCTGCTGAGGTACCCAGTCTATACAGACATTGGGTGAGCTGGGTCCAATGAACGCACTGCCCCTTCTGGGCATGTGCTAGGCTTGGCTCAGGAGCATGCCGAGTTTAAAATTAAGCGCTGGAGCTTTTTGTTTTGTTTTTTAAACAGCTGTAAACAGCTTAAATGATTAACATTTTGCTCATATTTGTATTGAGCTACACGATGGAAAAGATGGAAACTCAAATTTCACTCCACACAGAAAACCAGCACTTCTAATTGATTAAAAACGGAACTTTAATGTTTAGTATACAGATTTTTTTTGATTTTTTTTTTAAATCAAAGCATGGTACTCATTTACCACCAACTAATTTATTAAACACTAGTATTATCTATTATAGTATTAGAAGTATGAACTGTGGTTAGTGAATTCAGCCAATTATTTCAGGTCACCCTGGGAAAAGTTTTCTAATATGCGTAGGTGAAATTTATTTGAGCTTAACGACTACAGGTTTCCCTCTATTTATACAGGTTGGATTTATGTGGGTCGGTATGCGATGACCCTTTCGTATCTGAAATTCATTATATGCAAGGTAAATTCACATGTATGTGATTGGCATAGGCCGATTTTATGCACTCAACATAGGCGTGCTCCGCCCTCCCCCAAGCAGGTAAGTCTGAGTTTGTGAGGGGAGGAGAAAGGGCCATGAGCAGAGGGCAAAGGGTGGTGGGCCCTGCTGACCCTGCAGCAGCTGTCAGCCCCAGCCTGCTCTCATCCACCTGTAGGCAGCTGCCCGCCCCTGCTGCAGCTGCTCTGGGAGCGGCAAACGCTGCCTGCTTGTAGCTGTTGGGCTCCACCACACCAGGGGGTTCAGGGCACAGTGTAGCCCAGCGTCTGCAACCAGGTGGCATCAGCTACTCCCAGGGGTGGCCAACCGCCTGCAGCAGCACGAGAGCAGGCTGTGGATGGCTGCCGCTGCAGGCTTGGGCCAGCAGCAGCACCAGGCTCTTCCCAGAGCTCAGGGTGGGCGAGTGGGGCTGCCACCCACCCCGAGCACTATGAAGAGCCTGGTGCTGCCCCTGCTGCAACCTGGGAATGGCAGACACTGCCTGCTTGCAGCTACTGGGCTGTGCCACATCCCTCTCCCCGTCCCTTCCCTAGGTCCAGCCTCACTCCCTCACTGCCCTGGGAACTCATCCCTACTTGTTTCATTGTAAACTGGGTTCACTTTATGCAAATTCAATTTATGTGCCGTTCCCTGGGAATGCATCTACCGCAGAAGTTGAGGGAAACCTGTACTTGCAATCCATGGTTTCTGCTATAATAAACCCCTGGCCTTGTGTGCTACAGTATTTTAGTTTAGAGCATGAAAAGAATTTGACAAGTTAATGTTTATAACTCTGTACATATGGAAAGGGACCAAGAAAGGCTATTTAACTGAAGTGCCCAAAACCATACAGAAGCAGGGAGTCAACAATTACTAAGCAGAGGGTTCTTTTTCCATGAACTGCAGAGTAAGCCTCCATTACTGTACCATATTTTTAATGCTTGACCTCACAAGTTAGATGCTTTCCCACTCATTCCTATACAGAAGAAAACCACCTTTAACGACAACTTTTAGTAGAGGGCTCATTGACTCAATACTTTAATAAATTATTTTAATACATTAAGCTAAAATGTACAACTTAGCCTATACTATGCTATATTCAATTCAAATTTCATTTTAAGCTAGTTTATTTTTAAAGGAAAATTTAAATTATAATTTAAAAAAAAATCCAATTTTTTCTTCAAAAACAAAATCAAAAAGACTAATTTTTATTTTTTAAATAAAAACCCAATTAAAAAATTAAACAACAAAAACCCATTTTTATATTTTTAAGTAATCAAAAAAACTATTTTAAATCATCAATTTTTATTCACCCTGCATTTTTCCTATTTTAGTTCTTACCATATGGGTATCATTACTGAACACAGGAAAGGCCCAGCATATTGAAAAACTTCCATCTAGGAAACAATACTGAGTTTGCTTGGCATAAATGCATAGGGGTTGCTCCAAATAGAACAAAAACCTAAACAACGGTTTGGGGCAGGCTTTACCTCCATGATTGGACTGGATGCGAGGACCTTTGTTTCGATATTGGTGTCGCTGGCAGAGCCCCCAACAGTGGCAAAGAAACGCATGGCATATTTGGCAGAGACAGTTTTTCCAGCACCCGACTCTCCACTGACGATGATGGATTGGTTCTTCTCATCCCTGCAGAGCAGAGAAGAAAGACTTGTAAAAACACATCAGTTTCTAAAAATTCAGGGGCTTGATCAACAACTTTTCAGGAATCTTGCACCTGCACACTTATCTCAGTTCATTTTTTTTTGCTACGGTCAGGAAAACTTAAAATTAAGTTTTCACAACCTATTGTAGAAAGAATCTCACACACACTGCAAGTCTGAGACATTTCATAACTGGTATATTTGAGATGCTTCTGGGCATCTTAAAAACACAATTCCTTTAGTCTCACCACACTGCCACAATACATCACTGCCTTTTATCACCTAGAAAGAATATCCTGGCATTTATGACTCCGAACTCTACAATGCTCCAAGAACAACTTGACTGTTTTAAGACTCCTCCTACCAAAACTCAACAGGAATTTGCTGGATATTGGCCATTAACTACTGTGCTCTTGGTCTCCCGCTCTGATGCTTGACTCCTGCTTTCCAGTATATGAATAACTGTACGCACAAATAATACTTATGTCTTTTAATTGTGGAACTCACTGCTGTAGGATACACACACAATAGGAAATGAATGCTCCCCAAAATGTTAGAACACTGGACTTGCTACGTCAAGCACTTAGAAGTTAAGAAGCTGCAGAATTTAGGCTGCCGTGACAAAATTATTTGGACTATTTGTCATAAGAACACACAATTGCTACACCAGTCTGAGAGCCTGAGCAGGGTTTTTGTTCATTTGGAAACAGTGATGACACAGGCTTATCTTTTACACGAGGGTAAATTCCCTGTCAAAATTCAAGTCAGGAAACCATAGCATGACCAGGGTGGGGAGGGGGGTCATGGCTTCTTAATTAAATAGTAGTAGGATTTCTTTTTAAGACTGGGCAAAGGAAACGTGCCTCTCCATCACAGCTGAAGAAACGAGCCTCAAAGTTGGCATTCAATAAAATAAACAGCTAAAAACGAAGTACTAGGAACTTCAGCTATCGGCACTGGTGCCAGCGCTTCTTATAATGAGAGAACAGCTACTGTATATTCAAACAGACATGCATGGAAACATAATATGAATATGGTCAGAGTCCTGGTCTTTCAGAGATGATATATTTTTTATAAAAGGGAGGGGAAGGGAGTATTAACCCCAATTTAGAGATGAAGGAATTCACATTAGCTAATGTCCTTTAACCAATTGTGAAAGGATCTTGGGGTGAGGGGGAGAGGGTGATATCACCTGGGTCACAGAAATATTATTCATAAACAAGTTCAGCCAGAAGGATGCCAGCCAAAGGTTGTTTTAGGATCCTGTCTGGCAAAGCAGGAGGCTGGATAAGCATTTGACAGCATATGTAAATTCCTGTATTCCTGCAGTGGCTTGGATAAGATGACCCTTCAGGTCCTTTCCAATCCCACGATTTTAAACAACGGAAGCAAGGGGATCAAATCAAGTGGTATAAAATTGGTATGATTGCAATCAGGCCTAACTAGTGAATGAAATAGTGGCTACAGAGACATTCAGTTTATCCTGGGAAAGTTGCTGATCTCCTAGGAGAAACCCAAAGTGCACAGATGTTCAGGATTTTTCTCCCAGAGCAAAAATAGCCACTCCAGAAGACACAAACTGGGACAACTAGGGTTAGATCACTCCTGGGAGAATTTCCCCTTGGAGAGCAAATGTCTGTCCATGTTCTCTTCTGAGAGAAACCACAAGACAGTCCTTCAGCATCCCAGGGTGCTTTGCTCTCATTCTCTCCCCCTCCCCAGGGGTACAATGCGTCACTTGTTGGACTTGACTGCTCCCTGCCCCCTCCCCACACTGTGCAGCAGGGAGACAAAGGCCAATTGAGCAGTCTGGGTTAGCCAATCAGGGCTACCATGTGTACTGATGCCACTGTGTCCAGGCAGACTGCGGGAACCTGCAGAAAGCCAAGATGTGCCCACAGGAGCCCTCTGGCCGTGTAGCCTCAGCACTGCAAGCTCTCTGCTCTTCAAGGGCTCAACATTCAAATATCTGCTCAGGTATCTCTGGGTAACTCTTTCTAACAGAAAAACAACCCCAGAGGAAGTCTCCCACATCATCTGAGCACATGTACAAAGGCAGTGACAGACTGGCTATTCAGCCCAGCAGCTCTTTTCGGGTCCCACAATCTCACTTATACCAAGGAGACAGGTGGACTAAAAAGAGCAAGGTTGATCATCACAGCTGTCGTCTCCACCATATCCCAGGAACACATGATTTCCTATAAGACCACTGGCCCATTATCAATCTGCTCCTGAGAGAGATCCTGACCAAACCAATCTAGACAGAAGAAATGCCTTCACCCTGCTACATTAGCTAATCTCATTTAAAAAATGAGAGAGAGAAATACGTGCACGTAAGCCAAGATGTGGTCTCATATCAAAGAGCAAACTGTTCTGGAAGTGTCAGTGTCCCAGAGCTATCACAAGCAGAAAAAGGTTACATATCTAGATGAGTTTCTACCTCGTGGCTAGCTACTGTCCAGACTTCTTGCTGCATCAACAGCACCATGCACAGCTTAGAAAGGTAAACAGTTTGCAAGGACCAGACGGAGAATTATGATCAGCTACCATGCCAATCTCACACATTTGAGTCCTTACTAGTACCAGACCCTGCAAAAAGAAGTATAAAGACATTGAATGTGATAGTTCCCCAAGCAGTAGCAGTTCCATATTAGCTACACAGAGCAACTGGTAGCTTCAGGCAAAGTGAAGAGATGCAGAATAAAACGCAAGCAGAGCTGTTCAGGGGAAGGCGATAACAGATAACTGAGACATTGGTTTAACAATGTTGAAAAGAGAAGCACAACAACTAAACCTAGTGAAGAGTTCTGGGATAATCTTGTTGAAAAGCTGTTTGCTAGACCTCTTGCAGAGAACAATTCACCGCACTAAGCAGGTGGTCAATAGAACAGACACAAAAACCAACAGCAAACCAACAGAAAAGTGTACTCTCAAAGCCATGACAGGAAAGACCAAACAAAAGGCTTTCAAATTTCCCATAAAACTGTAAATGAATATCCATTGCTGGATGAAGAAGAGAGGAGGGAGAACGGAAGAAATGTGTAATATCAGTCAGCAGTGCTTCTTGATGTTTTCCCATCCTAGAGACATATAAACTGTGTCACTGTCTCTATGAACTCATATGTCAAGACAGACTAGAATGATACTGGGTCAAAATAATTAGGCCAAAATAATTAGGCCACATCCATTTAAGACAACCTAAACAGACAAAATGAAATCATGTTGGCAGCAGCCTGAATGAGGATATACAAAATTAAGTTGGACAGAGGATGGATGCCATTCATAAATTCCAAATATCTAAATGCATGTGCAATGACTTGTATAAAAACAACAAGGGTGAACTTTTTGGGCAGGCATGCCACAAATCAGCTCCATACCCTTCCCAAATGCCACTCCAAATCCCTTCGCCTACCCCATGTGCTGCTTTGCTTTCTGCTCCCAGCCCCATGCTCCCTGCTTGAGCTTCTGCTTCCTGCCGTGCTGCCAGTCCCCTCCCTGATCTGCTGCGTGCCATACAAAGAGGCTGTGCATGCTACTTGGGGTACCTGTGCCACAGGTTGGCCACGCCTAGTGTAAAACATGGCTCAGCTTTTTTTCACTGCACACTGTACTCTATTCAATTTGCAAACCTGGACTAAAAGTTCCTTAACACATCAATTTCAATAGCACAACTCACTGCTGTACTCTGACCAAAACACAATGTAAAGATAACCATTAAACAAGCCTCTTTACAACTGCAAATAGATATTATTTTGAACAAAAAGTGCCAGCAACACTTGTATCGTGGCAATGGAAAAGTTATTGCAGTCTGTAAAAGACATTATATGTAATCATGAAAAACTAGGGCTGCACTGATAAAAAAACATTTTTGGCGGATACCGATGGTAGATTAACCAGCCATATCAGCTGATACTGATCTGATTCCTGATATGCAGCCTGGAAGTTTGGAGAGCAGCATCTGGCCAGTAATTCGGGGGGGGGGGGGGGAAGGCAGATCAAGACCCCTGTAGTGAGGGTGGAGGAAGTAGGGCAGGGCATGGGACAGCTCATATGGGGAATGCACAGGCCTAGGGAGGGGGAGGCGGGCAACGGGGGGGGCTACAGCCATCCTAAAATTAGCTGTAGCCACTCTCCCAACACTGCTGCTGTGCACCCCACCTGCCCCGAGTGCAGCCCCAGCCAAGCCCCCCCCCCACCGGGAAGAGGACAAAGCAGCCCCCGGCCCCAAGTGCATAGCCCACCCTCACCCCACGCACAAATCTGGGGGGGCACATGCCCCCCATGGATATGTGGAGCAGCAGAGCTACCCCCTTCCCCAGCCCCCTGGACAAGCCACCCACAGCTCCATCCCTGTTGTCCTGCCTGTGTGGGGCAGGGCATAAAAAGCCAACTGCTGATCATTTCTATTTTCTTTCTATCGGTGCCAATACGATATACACAATGTATTTGTGCACCTCTACTGAAAACTAGCCCTGTCCAGAGACAGTTACATTCACCAAGTCAGCTCTGGCACCCTTTGAGGCCAATGACACTAAGTTGTCACCTGATCATTCTAATACTTTGACAGAGAGAAAAACAAGGACCAACGGTCATAAACTCCTACAAGACCGTTTTAGGCTGGACATAAGAAAAAATTTCTTTACTGTCCGAGCCCCCAAGACCTGGAATAGACTCCCTCCAGATGTGGTGCAGGCACCTACTTGGGACCCATTCAAGAAATGCTTGAAGGCTTATCCTGCTGAGGTCCTTTGATCCTAGCTGACTTCCTGCCCCTGGGGCAGGGGGCTAGACTTGATGATCTTTGAGGTCCCTTCCAGCCCTAATGTCTATGAAATCTATGAAATCTGCACCTCCATGCCCCTTCTCCCCCCCCACCCCGCGAGACTTAACAGCCAGATGCTGCACTCCAAGCTGCTGGGCTGCATTTCTGGCCACATGCATGCTGCAGCTGCGTGCATGCACACAGTATTTATGGGTGACATTAAA